CTCTGGGAGGCTGAGGGTGGATTGTCTGAGCTTATGGGTTTGAGACCAGCCTGAGCAAGAGACCCCATCTCTAAAAATAGCTGGGCATTGTGGTGGGTGCCTATAGTCCTAGCTAATTAGGAGGCTGACACAGGAGGATCACTTGAGCCCAAGAGTTTGAAGTTGCCATGAGCTATGATGTCATGGCACTCTCCCGAGGGGGACAAAGTAAGACTCTGTCTCTAAAACATAAAAAAATAGGCTTGGCGGTTAGGGCGCTAGCCACAGAAACCTGCCAGGGCCTGACAAACAATGACAACGACAACAACAACAAAATAGCCAGGTGTTGTGGCAGGCGCCTGTAGTCCCAGCTACTTGGGAGGCTGAGGCAAGAGAATCACTACAGCCCAAGATTTTGAGGTTGCTGTGAGCTGTGATGCCACCGCACTCTCTACTAAGGGCAACAAAGTGAGATTCTGTCTCCGAAAAATAAATAAATACATACATAAAAATAAAGAAACTGTTAATTGTCGTAGAAAGTGATTGTACCATTTCATGTTGCCACCAGCAGTGCATGAGAATTCCAGCTGCTCCTCATTTTTTGGCCAACACTCAATTTGGTCAGGCTTTTTCATTTTAGACATTCTAATATTTTGTATTTTTCAGTCTATATATATCTTGCACCTATTTTATTAGATTTATACCCGAGTATTTCTTTCTTTTTTTTATAGAAAGAATTCTTACATTTGCCATTCTTTGGTGACCCAATGGAGAAATAGACATGTTATAATAAAATATTCTCTGTCTTTTTATCACGAAGTTTAAGGAAAAAATAAAAAAATTCTTTTTAAAATTTCAATAGTTTTAGAGGGTTGCAAGTGGAGTTTTGTTAACATAGATATATTGCATAGTGGTGAAGTCTAGGCTTTTAGTGTACCCAGTACCCCAAATAGTGTAATTGTACCCAACAGGTAATTTTTCATCCCTCACCTTCCTCCCATCCTCTCCCCCTTTGAGTTGCCAATATCTGTAGAACTTCTAGTACTACCTTCAATAGAGGTGGTAAAGAGTGGGCATCTTTGCCTTTTTAGAAGAAAAGTTTGCAGTTTTTTACCATTTGGTATATTACCTTTGTGCCTTTCATATATGGCCTTTATTATGTTGAAGAAGTTTCTTTCTTTTCTTTTCTTTCTTTCTTTTTTTTTTTTTGCAAGCATAAAACCAAGTTTATTGAAGAAGAGATAGGTTCACAGAGCAAGAGCAAGATACAGGTTTACAGAGTAAGATATGCTCACCATAAACAATGACTAGGTTCCCATTATCACAAGAAGGAAAAGGCTCTGGTAATAGTCTGGGGTTCTTTTTTATGAAAAGAACTTTTTTATACTGAGTGGGGCCCAAAGAGATTTCTTTCTATTTCTAATTTGTTGTATTAAAGGGTATAGAATTTTGTCAAATGCTTTTCTGTATCAATTGAGCTGCTCGTGTGTGTGTGTAACTTTCTGTTAATTTGGTATATTACATTGATTTATCTATGGTAAACCATCTTTGCATTTCAGGAATAAATCACACTTGGTCATGGTGTATAATGGTTCTAGTGTGCTCTTGAATTATTTGCTAGTATTTTGTGGAGTATTTTGTATTTTTGCATCTAGAATGTTGGTCTGTAGTTTATCTTCTTTCTTTCCTCCCTTCCTTCCTTCCCCTTGTCCCCTTCTTTCTTTTTCTTTCTTTCTCTCTCTCTTTCTCACTCTCTTTCTTGCAGTACTTTTGGCTAGCTACAAAGAATGAGCTGAGGAGTGTTTCTTCCTCTTCAATTTTCTGGGAGACTTTAGGAGGAGTTGGTAATATTTTTTCCCTGACTACTGTGCTATGGTTAGCTTGCATATTCTTTCTCACTTGACTTTAGCAAACTTTGTCTCTGCTTAGCTTGTATATTCTTTCTCACTTGGCTTTAGCAAACTTTGTCTCTGCTGTCCTGTGTTCCTGACTTAAATTACTTGCTGCAACTGTATCATCTCTGTTTTCTATATTCTCCTGATGTCAAATCAGTATCATCTCTGTTTCTGATTGCAATATTTCCAGCACTAACATCTGATTGATTATTCCTTTTGCATGATGCTTTGATTTGCAAAATTAAAATCTTACTCTTATTGTAAAAAATATAGGGCAAGTTCAGTTTATTAGAAGTCAAAATGATAAAGTTAGGAAGAGTGAACCAGTGGTTCTTAATTCTATTAGATTTACTGTGCCCTTTTACAATATTTTTAAAATATTGTAAATATCCCATTTATTCCTCTAAACTGACACTTATAGATTAAACTATACCCATATTTTTAGAACATTAATATAAACATGACAATAAGTAAAAAGAAAGTAATTTCCATACGCATTTCAATAAATAAATCATAGAAATCAACAGTTTGGCTAGGCATGATGACTCACGCCTGTAATCCCAGCACTCTGGGAGGCTAAGCCTGAAGGATTGCTTGAGCTCAGGAGTTTGAGACTAGCCAAGCAAGAATGGGGCCCTGTCTCTACTAAAAATAGAAAAATTAACTGGGAGTTGTGGTGGGTGCTTGTAGTCCCACCTACTTGGGAGGCTGAAGCAGGAGGACTGCTTAAGCACAGGAGTATGAGGTTGCTGTGAGTGAGGCTGATGCCATGGCACTGTAGCCTGGGGCAACAGAGTAAGACTCGATCTCAAAAAAAAGGAAAAAAGTAAATCTTAGGTCAAACTTTGCTAGAAGTTAAAAGGCTTGCATCTATATGTGATTAAAATAAATATGAAATTAAAATGAATATGAAAATAGAATTAAAATAAATATGGAGATACAAATGTAGGGAGATTCAAGTTTGGCATGAAATACTATTAACTATCGAATTGCTGTTGGTACTACAGTGTTCCAGAATGGTGAAACTTGCTTGGAGAAACTTTAAAGAACGTTTTTTTCTTTGATTTACATTGTATTTGTATTCCTGGAAATTTCAATGTAAAATTGAACTGGGCAAAAAAGTACACTTTGTGTTTATATTTTATTTATTTTGAGAAAAAGACTCACTCTGTCGCCCTGGGTAGAATGCCATCGCTTTATCATAACTCACAGCAACCTCAAACTCGCAATTCTCCTGCCTCAGCTTCCCCAGCAGCTGGGACTATAGGCGCCTGCCACAACGCCTGGCTTATTTTTCTATTTTTGATAGAGATAGGGTCTTTCTCTTAATCAGGGTAGTCTCTGAACTCCTGAGCTCAGGCGATCTACCCACCTTTTCTTCACAGAATGCTACGATTAAAGGCGTGAGTCACTGTGCCCAGGCTGGTTTTATATTTTAAAAGGAGTTTAGTTCTGGGCTTGGCTAATCATAAACAATTTTTTTCTTTTTTTTACCTACACGAATGTTCAAGGGGACATTAAAGGTCACACAAGATATGGATGGGACAGTTCTTCATTGTGTGGTACTGTTTACTGCATTGTAGGGTGGAGTAGCATTACTTAGTACTTGTACTAGACTAAATACCCTCTTGATCATTGTGACAATGGAAAATGCTTCTACAAATTTCTAAATGTCACATATGAGGCAGGAAGAACTTCCATCAAGAACTGCTAGGACTGGGCCAGGCACGGTAGCTCATGCCTGTAATCCTAGCACTCTGGGAGGCTGAGGCAGGTGGATTGCCTGAGCTCATGAGTTCAAGACCAGGCTGAGCAAGAACCAGATCCCTCTATCTCTAAAAATAGCCAGATGTTGTGGAGGGTGCCTGTAGTCCCAGCTACTTGGGAGGCTGAGGCAGGAGGATTGCTTAAGCCCAAGAGTTGGAGGTTGCTGTGAACTATGATGCCACAGCACAGCACTCTACCGAGGGAGACAAAGTGAGACTTTGTTTCAAAAAAAAAAAAGAAAGAAAGAAAAAGAAAAAAAGAAAGAACTACTAGGATGAAGTGATGGATAAAGAAATTTGTTCGGCTTGGCTCTTGTGGCTCAAGTGGCTAAGGCGCCAGCCACATACACCTGAGCTGGCGGGTTTGAATCCAGCCCGAGCCCGCCAAACAACAATGACGGCTGCAACCAAAAAACAGCCAGGCGTTGTGGCGGGTGCCTGTAGTCCCAGCTACTTGGGAGGTGGAGGCAGGAGACTCGCTTGAGCCCAGGAGTTGGAGGTTGCTATGAGCTGTGATGCTATGGCACTCTACCCAGGGGGACAGCTTGAGGCTCTGTCTCAAAAAAAAAAAGAAATTTGCTTATAAGGTTCTATTTTTTCTTTACATATATTCAGTGTAGTCAGCTGATAAGATTCTTGTGGAAAGGAGATAATTAAATAAAAGCCATGTTTGAGGAATATTCTGATATCTACTTTCCAGGTCTTAGGGACAGGTAAGGAAGCAAAAAAAGAAGTAACTTGCTTTTCCAGTACCTGTGATTTACAAAGCATTTTCCATGTTATACACTTCACATCAGCAGTGAATTTAGTATCTACACCATTTTAGAGAGGAAGTAGAGGAAGCTCATAAATATTGTGACTTTTTTTTTAATTTATATTTTTAAACCGTGTTATTATATCGCCCTCAGTAGAACGCCATGGCGTCACAGCGCACAGCAATCTCAAATGCTTGGGCTTAAGTGATTCTCTTGCCTCAGCCTCCCAAGTAGCCTGGACTACAGGCGAAGAAGAATTTTTTTAAAGAGAGATCTGATAGTACTTGAGAAGGCTGAGGCAGGTGGATTGCTTGAGTCCAAGAGTTTAAGACCAGGCTGAGAAAGAGCAAGAGATTCTGTCTATGCAAAAAATAGAAAACTTAGTTGGGGATAGTGGGGCATTCTGTCTCAAAAAAAAAAAAAAAAAGGTTGGGGGTCGGGAGAGCACTAGGAGACTCATAGTAAAACTAAAATTAGTGAGACTTTAATTAGAAAGCTTTATTCTATTGACATTGTCTATTCATTGACATTCTGGGAAGAAAGGTAACCAAAGAGTTTTTAAATACTGAGGATTTATTAATACATTTCCCCTTCCTGTCTTACAGGATATTGATATGCAGTTGAAGGAGATCATGGAAAATGTGAATAATATAATAATTCGCTATGCTGTTGATCTTAATATGTCTACGGGAAGGAGGAGCTCCCTTACAGAGTTTAAGAAAAGAAAGAGAACGTATTTTTTAGACAAAATGGCTACTTATGCAAGGAATGCTGAAGTTAGAGAAAAGACTCTTGCCCACATTCTGTCCTGGCTAGAAGAATGGAGTAAGTTTCCAGAAGTGTTTCAGGGAAAGACCACAAAGTTGATGAAAATGGTAGAGAAGAGAATTTATATGTAAATTCAGAAGGATTAATTAGACTAACAAAGAAAACACTAAGGAGGTTATTCAGACAGTTGTCCTCTGTTCTAGTAAAAATAAAAGTGTATATATATATATATATATATTTTTTTTTTTAATTCGGTCTCTGTAGAGAACATCAAAAATTGCTAGTGCCGACTATATTGCAAGTTGTCACAGTGGGTTATTGGGAAAAGTTTTCAATTAGCAATAATCGTGCCTGAGATAAAACTCATGGGCTATGATGCTGCCACTGCGCAAAGCTAGAAAAGTATATTTTTATTCACTTAGTGCTAGCCATTTTGGCCTTCTGGCTTTTTTCAAGCATGCCAGCATGTTTCTCCTGCCCAGTGTCTTTATGCTTACTATTCCCTTGCTGGTGACATTTCCCTCCAGATAGTCCTATGACTCATTCCCTGCTTAAATTTAACTTTAAAATGAGGTCTTCTCTGACCATCCCTATTCCCTCTCTTTCTTCTTCTTTTTTTTTTTTTCTATTCCCTTTCACTTGGCTCTCTCCATTACCCTTTACCCGTCCTTATTCTTGTCTATAGCATTAGTATTTAACATATATAATTCACTTTTTAGTTTGTGTCTCTCTCTTTTGACTAGAATGTAAACAGTATGAAGTCAGGGAAGTTATTTTATTTAATGCTATCAGCTTCTAGAAGAGTACATGGCAGAGTATATACTGGTTGAATAGAAGAATGAATGAGATGAGAATACAAAAAAATGGAATTTAATTTGTTGCAAGAAATCTTATGTAACAAGACTGATAAATACTAGATAACTTACCAAAGGCATTAAATGGGATTTAGATCCCCAATATTAATACATACACTCTCATTTTAGATACTTACTTGTCTGGAGTCAGGGAACTAAACCAAATAAAGACTTTTTACCTTGATTTATGTTTTCCTGTCCAATACTTATTTATTCGGCTTTCTGTTCTAAATCTCTTTGTTTTAAATTTCTTTATGGAGAAAAGCCCCAGGATGGTAGTATGAGATACCTATTTTCCCCAATAATACTATATGGAAGCTTATATAATAATTTATCTTTCTGTACAAAAGTAATTGTTTTTTTCTCTTCAAGATGCCATTTTGTCAGAGATGACAGTAATTGATGCTGATGAATACCACCGCTGGATGGTGCAAATGGAGATGTTACCAGAGACATTAAAAGCTATTGAAAACAATGTCAAGATCCTGAGCAGATTTACTTTAGCTCTCCTTGAAGAAAAGAAGAAACGAAAGAAGAAAACAGGTAAGGGTACTTTATGACTTTAGAAACGGAGTTTGATGTTTTTCTAAAAATAGCCTTATTGATGTATAATTTGTAAGTACAATTAATGATTTTTAGTAAGTTTATAGAGTTTTGCAGTGATCACCACTATCCAGTTTTAGAACCTTTCCCTTATCCCAAAAAGATCCCTTTTTGGGGGGGGACAGAGTCTCATTATGTCACCCTTGATAGAGTGCTATGCCATCAGAGCTCACAGCAACCTCAAACTCTTGGGCTTAAAGCAATTCTCTTGCCTCAGCCTCCCAAGTAGGGAGGACTGCAGGCGACCGCCATAACGTCCAGCTTTTTTTTTTGGTTGTAGTCGTCATTGTTGTTTGGCAGGCCCAGGCTGGATTTGAACCCACCAGCTCTGGTATATGTGGCTGGCACCCTAGCTGCTGAGCTACAGGTGCCAAACCTCCTATTCTTTAGTATTTCTTGTAAGGCAGGTCTGTTAGCAATAAATTTTCTCAGAATTTGTTCATCTGGGAATGTCTTTATTTCACCCTAATTTTTAAGTAGATTTTATTTTTTGGAGCAGTTTTAAAGAAAAACTAGGGAAAAAAGTTGTCGTGTATCTGCCCACAATTTTCTCTTCCATTTTTTTTCTTAGCTCCTTAGCTAGGCAATCCCCTACTATTAATATTTCCCATTAGTATATACTTTTGTTACAATTACAACATTGATACATTAACTAAATTCTGCAATTTAGTCAGAATTCCTTATTTTTACCTAAATTTCCTTTTCTGCCTCAGGATCCCATCCAGAGTACCACATCACATTTAGTTAGTCATGTCTGCTTAGGCACCTCTTGACCGTGACAGTTTTGAGAAGTACCAGTTGTAGAATGCCCATCTATTGGAATTCTTCTGATGGTTTTCTCATGTTAATCCTGGTGTTATGGGTTTTGAGGAGAAAGATCACAGGCATAAAGTGCCATTTTCATCACATCATATCAAGGTTATATACTATCGAATGATTACTGACTTGATGTTGCCATTGATAACCTGGCTAAGGTAATGTTTATCAGGTTTTGCCACTGTAAAGTTATCCTTTCCCTTCCTTTCTTTACTGTTGTCTTGCAGGGGTGTCCAACCTTTTGGCTTCTCTGGGCGTATTGGAAAAAAGAGTCGCTCTGGGTACACATTAAATATACAAACACTAACAAAAGCTGATGAGCAAAAAAAAAAAAAAGGACTGTGCATAATTTTTTTGATATCTACCACCACAGATAAGCAAAAAGCTGTCACATAATCCACATGTGGCTTATAAGCTGCAGATTGGCCACCCCTGTGAGGGAAGTCTAAGGATGCAGCCCATGCTTAAAGAATGGAGTTACACTTTCCTTCCTTTAGAATGGAGCATCAACATAAATTATTTGAAATTCCCATGTAGGGGAGATTTTTCTCTTCTCCCATATTAATTAATTTATTCAACTATTTATATCAAAATGGACTCACAAATATTTATTTTATACTTTGGGTTATCACATATAATCCAGTACTAGTTTATTTTCTTGCTTAAATCATTCCAGCTTTGGCCATTGGGAGGTCTTTCAATTATTTCCTTTGCCCCTTTGACATACTTCTATCAACATAGGCTTTTGTTTGGTTGGATTTTTAGCACTTTCTTACTTTCTGTATTACAAGATGCTTTGGACTCATCTTGTGTATTTCCTGTCCCAGTCCTAGAATCAACCAATTTCTTCAAGGATTTCTGCTTCCCTTTATTGGGGTATAGTATTAAAAACCAAGGTCTGGGTGTTAGGTATGCTCATTGCTACTGTGGTTTTATTTCTATTAGGCCTTCTTAGCTGACAGAGCAAAAGAATATCCATACATGTACTAATCCATGAATATACATATATCTCTAAATATTTCTGTACATAAACATCTGTAACTATACTCAGCCAAACAGAAGTCTTTATGTCTCCAACTGTACTCCATTAACACATGGACCATCCTAGCTTCCGCCCTTTGATTACCTGTGGACGCCCAAATAGCAGGAAACCTAGTTTCCACTATCTGCCATCTATTTACCTAATTATTAAATTCCAGTCTACATATATAGCAGTGTCAGAATTGTTAATCCCTACCCTCCATGAGAAATTATCAACTAGAGTATAATGCTTATGAGTTGTTCCTTTTGCCCTTGGTTTTATAGACTCAGCCAGGCCTGGTGGCTCAGATCTGTAATCCCTGTACTTTGGGAGGCTGAGACAGGATAATTTTTTGACCTCAGGAATTTGAGGCTGCAGGGAGCTACGATTGTGCAGTTGCTCTCCAATCTGGACAACAGAGTAACAACCTGTCTCTAAAAAAAATTTAAAAATTAAAAAGAAATAAAAATTAAAACTATATAAATAAAAAAATAGTTTTATAGACTTCATTCAATTCTAGAATTACTTAGGTCAGCACCTTCCCTCCACTCTACCTTCACTGAGATTGTATAGGTTTCTAATAACAGTCTCTTGTCACAGTGTACATTTCTTCCTAAAGTACCTTGACTTCTTTTTTTTTTTTTTT